GTAAAGATTGATGTAATACGTTCTGCATGCGTCTTCATGCGTCTTCGAACCTCTGCATGCGTCTTCATGCGTCTTCGTACCTCTTCATGCGTCTTCATGCGTCTTCGTGCCTCTTCATGCGTCTTCATGCGTCTTCGTCGATAATTGGGACCCCTCTATCGCCAACAATGCCCTCTCAGAGTAGGTTTGTGAAGGTGTCCAATTATCGCTGACGATGCGTGACGCTGCGTGACTCTGCGTGCCCTTCCATCTTCCATCCGCAGCCCCGTCCACACCCATCTTCCGTCCACGAATATGCTTGCCTCGTCTTGCGCTGCCCCCCCACTATCGACTAAACGAGAACCCAAGCATCGGAGATGCTTGTGGGAAAAATGTGACGCCAAGGTGCCATTTGATCAAGCCAAGAAGTAGCACCGACAGCATTGCCTGCCTGCATCAGCACGAGTCGAATCCTGTGACTGCAGAGATTGGTAAGCATTCTATCGTCCCTGCCTGACAATGAGCATTGATCACGGCATTGTAGCTCACTTGGGTGGGCATTGCTCGCATCTTGGCCATGCTTCGCATTGTTCGCTCTGCTTCAGCTACCTGGCTAAGCCGTGCGCAAGCATGCAGCACAGAGTTGAAGCTCACCGGGTCCAGGCTGATCTCATTCGCTTTCACCAAGTACACCTCCTTTGCTTTCGCCAGATCCTCCAACAGTGACGGCATTTATTGGTTTGTTCCCCAACCAGTTTACTGTTGGGGTTCTATCTTACAAAACAGAGCTGGCCACACTGACTGGCCGCGCGCCTGACTCTGACTCTGTGGCCGGGTCTTGTCCTCCGCTTGTCCTTCTCTTGTCCTGCTGTAGACCTCCTTGTCTTTCTCTTGTCCTTTGGCCGTGCTGACCAGCCCTGGACACACTGACTGGCCGCGCCCCTGAACTCTGTGGCCGGGTCTTGTCCTCCTCTTGTCTTCCCTTGTCCTGCTCTTTTCTTGTCTTCTCTTGTGGCCGAATTGATAAAGCAGTTTGCTCTTGGGGGAGGAAGGTAGGGCGTACCAAGAAATCGTTTTGATATTTGACAAATTTTTGTCCAAACGAATCGTGTTGAAACTGTTTGGGGTCTATGCTGATATAATTTATGGTCCTACTTGTTATCTTCAATTGGTCCTTGATGCTTGTGGTCTACGGGGTACTTTTAATCCAGATTTTGTTGGACGCGGCACAGAGAGGCGCTTTCTTACGCCGCAAGTGCGCTGACTTTGTCGTTAGGCTTGCCTGGAACTTCAAAACAAACCTGTTTAATTAATGCTTCTCATTCTTCTCACAAGATTGGGACATTTGTAATGTGCAACTTTCCACCCCAAGCAGCGAGTATATATATATATATGTATATAAGTGCCTTTTGAAGGTTTGCAGGTGGGATCAGATCCTCTTGCAGACTTGCACCATGGGAACTGGGAACCCTGGACTAAGTTTTAAAGCAAAATCTGAATTTGAATGCTTAATCTTTTTGTCTTCAATCGTCCTGGTGTCCCGATGCCCGGGCGCAGGCATGTAACAAACTGTTGTAGGTCACCAAATCAGGTTGTAAACGCTTTGCACACGCCATGAGAAGCAATCTTTCTGCTTTGTCCAAGTTCCCCTGCGCAGCGTAAGCAGCAATGAAAGCATTGTAGGCAATCAGGTCCGCTGCTATCCGGTAGTTCTGCATCTTCAGGAACCACATCTGGACACGATCGCCAGGTGGCAACTCATAGATCTCATTCAATCGTGTTGCGCATGCGTACAAACATACATAGCAGCAGAATGGTTATGGCTATGAGTATATATATACATACATATGTACAGTATATAAAAGAAGCTATGTAGTGTAAAACCCTGATGCAGTTGCTTGGGCTGGCCTCTGCCCTGGAAGTATCTTGCTTTTTTGCGCAGCAATTCAGCATAGCACAAAAGCTTACTCTGTCAGGCTGCAGCATGGAGTCTTCCATGAATTCAAACCACCATTCCTTGGAACAGGAAATCACAGACAGTCTCAAAATCTACTGCTGTCTTCATTGACCCTTCAATCTTGGCTCTACTCTGGAACATTTCGATCATTTCCAGCTAACTGAGGCTCAGTCTGCTGGAGGCAATCTTCCGCGCTTAGCGCACACGTCCAGCAAGGCATTCAGGGTGGCAACAGTTGGCTCAAGCCCTCGAAGTTGCATCCTCCACAACATGAATGCGGTGGCACCGAAAAAACACAGCTCTGGCTACCGCCAACCACCTTGTTAAATAATTCACAAAGCATTAGAATAAGATAGAAAAAGGAGATGCAATGAACCGGCAAGGAGATGCTATGCCTCTGCTACGCTCAATATACTTCTACAGATACAATACTTCTGAAAGAACTTTTTCTGTCTTGTGTTGTGAGGGGAGGTGACCGCCACGGCAAAGGCATGCGCATGTGCTTCCCACTGCAACCCCTACTTTCAGGAGTCATGCCTGAATTCCCCCTCCCAGAAATGGCTTGCAAATCCCAGGCAAGCTCACTGAGGGCCTTCTTACGTGGGATATCTGCCATTCAGTGCATGGCAAAGTTACCCTGAGGCACAGCTCAGCGCAACTGTGGCACCAAGCCACTTCCTGAACCACTTCTCGGAATGATCTGGATCGCCTGGACAAAAGGATGAACAAAGGTTGCGAGTCCCTTCTCCACTTCCCTCAAGCAGTTGCGCTACAAAATCGGTCAACAAGCTACACAATAGCTTACGCACGGGCCTCAGGTGTTCGGCCGGTGTAAGAATGACCCGTGCATCAAGATTCGGGAGAATTAAGTTGCAAAGTAAACTGCGGAAAACAACAGGCTGGGAATGAGAATGTTTGACTATTTCGATGCGAGCGTAAGGCTACAAGCATTGACTCAACAACTGCGTTGCGTCGGTCCTGCTCTTGCAAATGCAGAGATTACGGAGGTAAAGCTGGTCACATCTGGAGCAACTTTGCTCCAAACCATCCTGAAGCCGTGGAACTCGTTTGAGTCAGCTTTATCCAAGACTCATCATGAACGGAAATCCTGTACCATGATGGACCTCTTCGAACGGCCCTTCAGCAAATTGATGCTTCATGATTCTTAGCATCTTCCGTTCGAGTATATGTTTTCTGCTATGCTTTCTCCAAACTTGTTTGATGCAACCAAACAGAGTACGTAGATATGAAGCATTTATCAATGTTTTCTTTGCTATATACGACAAGAGATGCAGTTCCATGGTTCCTGTCCTGCGAAACCAGAGTTCACATTGAAACGGGTCCCCATCTCGGGATGCAGCTGTCAGCAAGGAATTGAACAGCGTCGCAGATGGTCGAATCCTCGCACATGTCTTTGCTTGGTTCATACCGGAAAGACAATTAGAATTGGACACTAGTAGACTGCAGTGGCTACAGTAGTGCATGCGTCTTTCTCCAAAGACCCTATTTCTGCCCTCAGCCCTGCAATCCTGGTTTCTGCCAGTTGCTGAAGTGCTGACATGTATAAGTGCCGCAATGCAGGCTGTGTCATCAGTGGCATCCATCTTTGGGACCCCAAGCGCGACAGCGCAACGACTGACAAAGCACCCGCAACAAAGGGAAAGTATTGAATCATTGCAAACAGCCTCTCGCGCCTGCCACATTCCGCTAGCGTACGAGAGTGGGTTTAAACTTCAACTCCATGTGCATGTCCCAAAGGATAGTTACAAGCATGTACCCTAGCAAAATGCTGCTGAGCATAGTTAGCTGCTTCTCCCAGATCTTGGAACTGCATGCCAGTCCGGCAACGCTCATTTCACTCGCAAATTGGCGATTCGGACCAGTAGCAAAGTGGCTTACCAACTCCAAACTTGCAAGAAATTTGCCCTTTGCATCAGCTCAGTGAAACAAAGCACACATGCGGCCACATGCGTTTCTTTTCGCTGAGCTGCTCAAGCCGCCTGGACATGTTCATGCAGTCTTATGCATTTTGCTTGCAAATCCACAGAAGGGCCCAATCCCTAGGAAGGCACAAGAACGACCTAGGCTGACCATGAGTCCATGAATAGTACTAATAAGTACTAATAATACTACGTCCTGATGTAAAACAAAGTTTCACTCCATCTGTCTGTCTCTGATAACACATTTGCCTCCACAGCTCCCAGGGCCGACAGCTTGTCTAACAAACTGGCTTGATCCATCTCCTCAAAGGAATTGAAACACTCATTGTCATTGTTTTTCTCAACATACTCTTAGAGTATGTCTTCCGGAAATTGAATGCGTTCAAAACCCTCGGTGCGGAATTTCTGACACATGAGTTGTGGTTGCCTTGCCTGAATCTCCTGGCCGTTTGCCACACGCTGTCCTCCAGCGAACAGCTGGGGAACCTGCTGGCCGGTGAGCTCCTGCAGCAAGGGAACAAAAAATTGCGCTGCTTCAGTCCAATTCTTTCGCCAGTTTGAAAGCAATCGAAAGAAGAACTCAACATCCCCAAATGTTCACTATCTATTCTCACTCATGTCCTGAATGGCGGCTTTCACGCCTGGATTGTATTTCTCATCATTGCAATCGATTGCCTGAAAAAGCTGGTCAGCGGTCAGATTAAGCGCTCCCCAAATCAGAAAACAATCATGCTCTTCGAAGTCCTTAGTTCATCGGCCTTGAAAGCAAGCCCTGTTTTGAGCAAGGCCTGGCCACTGGAAGCGCTACAAATGTACATGTCGTGTCAAAAACTTGAACCCTTGTCAATGGTCATGCCGCGTGACACCCTTGGCAATGGACGGTTTGTCTGTATCATCTGCTTGTCTGCTTGTTCTGCGAATCTCCGCGAGTAGATATGTTCTTGGACCAGAAGCTTTGCGTGCAGTTTGCTACAAGTCAGGTGGCAAAGCCGTGCGGTCCACGAGCGGCAACAAAGTCACTTGAGGTACCAGGGGGTGGGCATCAACATCTAACAAAACCTATCATTCCAAGCGTTGTCTAGATGAGGCAGCATCGAAAGAAGACAAATGTTACAATGAACAATTCAACAAATGTAGAGGGGTGAAGCCATGATGGGGTTTGAGACAATTTGAGGCGACACGGCAAAGCGCTTGGATTGCAGATCATTGCAGCAAGAATCAACGTGGTCACGCAAACCTCAAAAAAATAGACCACGGGGAATCAAAAAGGGGAGGAATAATCACAGCCGTCCGTTGTTGCTTTGAAAGTAACTGTCGCTGGTGGGCACTCTACTGTCTACTGTAATGAAAGCTGAGGCTGGCCTTCACAGCACCCGCTGACAGCTCAGTGTTAGGAGCCTGTCTGAGGTTGGCATGCGGTAAACGCAAACCAAACGGTTGTGAGATACACAGGCTTTGCTGCAAGCCAACCCTCTCCGAGCACGAGATGGCGCCAAAAGAATCATTTTCACTGTCCAACTTGCCTCAATGTCAAGGCAAGGACAACCTCAAAGCCGCGATGGCGGCTGTGCGATTTATGATCCAGCCTTGATGGTGCCGTCCAAAAACAACACTACCTCGCAACTGGCGCATTGGCAAATAACCGCTCTCCGAATAATGTAACATTTTGGTCAGTATGGCTATTCAACGTACTCAAATGCATTCCAAAAAACCCAAGTAAGCTGTGGAAGTCCAGGAAACAACAACACGCGTTGTACATTTCTAGCAAACGTAAACAAACAACAAAACAAAAATTGCACACTCAACGAGAGGCAAACCTTTGAACATTATTCAACTCAACAACCTTTGAACATTCTCCACTTAAATTTTTTAGCGCAGTAGTAGGCAAACAAGTCAAAGTGAGGCACGGCTCAAGGCAAGCCGGAACAAAATTTTGAGCGCACATATACACAAATATACGATATACACACATACACACATATTACAGTAGAAGGACAGCGGTGGGAGTGAGAAATGCATGAACCAAGAGCATACCAATGAATCTTGACCAAGAGAAAATGGGAGCAAGGGAATCTACTAACATGGTGCATAGGCAAAAAGGCGGATTACAACAAATTGCATTGCAACTCTTCTGGAAAACATTCCTTACAGATCGGTCTCCCAACAAGTTAATGGACCAGAAAACACGTCACGTGGAGGCAACAGTGGAAGGAAGAGGAATGATAGCGGAAGAGTGTGTGCGGGTGATGAGCCAAGATATACTCCACGATGGTGAACACATAATCCGGTCCACCTATTAAAACACGCCGGCCCCCCCTAATAAGGAAACCTCGGGCGCTTTTTTAAACAGGGGGTCCCTGAAATTGGGGAGTCCAAAATAGGGTCAGCTGGGAAGAGCTTCAAAACAAAACAAAAAAAATCATTATTAAGTTCGTATCGAAGGTTCAAAAAAACCTCCAGATCGAAAGGTTCCTTTTCCCATACAAAAACTTTTATTAGAATAGTGATTCTTCATTAGACAAACAACTAAAGCTTTCGAAAGGTGATGTCGCTGTGCCATGCGGTTTTGCGTGACCTCGGTGGCAAGTGCGTTTGCGTGAGTCTGTGCCATTGGGGGAAGGAAAGCCTGCTGGTGTAAACGCGGCGTGTCATGGTGGATAGACAGGGCGGACAGAGGTGGGCAGTTGCTGTTGTTTTTGGAAACTAATTTAAAAAACTCCTCCAAAATCGGCAATGTTGGTAGTTTAGTAGCGGCTTGAAAGGGCGGTAATATAAATATGCATACAGCCGTATTTAGCAAGTTCAACAGCTGTTGCAGCAGCCCAACAACTAAAAGAATGCATCCTTTAGAACATTCCAACTTTGCAGTCTGTGCCTGACACGCCTTGTAGCCCCTGCAGAATGGAACATATCCGTTCCGGCAGTGTTGATCCCACGAGATCACCTTGATTCTTTTCTTTCTTGTGGCCCAGGCTGTTGTTGTAATGCTAACTGACAACAGCTTCACAATAGCCTTCAGCAGCCCGGCGCCTATCGCCAAAGTCCAAACTTGTATATTCTGGCCATCGGATTCCCCCTCTGCGGTAAGCGGAGCTGAAGGTTGGTTCCCAGGCCAGTAGGCTTGACCACCGCCGCGTCACCGTCCCATAATTCAAAACCTCCTTGGTTGACATCGAGCGAGCGCAATCCAGCAGCTGGCTGTGCCGACAAGAACATGGTTTCTTGTGGCTTCTCTTCTCCTGCTCGTCCTCGTTTCCTTCCTCAATCTTCAGAGCAGTGTCACGTTCGCGACGCGTCGCTACTTCGTACATCTTCACTTGTAGGGGGAAGCCCCGCCCCCAGGTTCCTCCCGTTTGATTGGGCCGTTTGGTCCACCCAGCGCAGGTCCAAAGCTAACCGTAGCAGGCCGTTCTAGGCGGGAGCAGGTAGGAGTAGGATCTTGTACGGCAGCAAGGTCGTGATGCCCCCCTTTTCAATTCCACCCAATCGCCTGTTCTTCAAAAGTTGCTTGAAGGTGCAGCCTGCGCTTTCTCTACATGTGAAGGGCAGTGGGTGCCTAGTGATTGGTACTCTGGAGCTACGCGCTCATTGAGACGACCTCTCACTACCGATGACAAGGTCAAAGACTCCATGCGTCAATGCCGTGCTCACCAACAGCCGCAGCACTCCGCTCCTGATGACCGAGGCTGAATTGATCGCCCACCAACTTGGCCATTGTACCAAAGCACCCCTTGGCCTTAGCGGGGAGAGGTTGTGGCAGTGTCCACAGAGCCCAAAGCAACTAGCTCTCCATTTTGTTCAAGCGTATGACGAAAAGGGTGAGAAGATGAGAGTGGATCTGCGTCCGGCAATCAAGGACCAAGGCAGCGCTAGTTCCTCCTGTACTCTTTCGTCCTGCTCCTTCTTTCTTTTCTCTTCTTCCTTTTCTTTCTTCACCTTCGGCGGCGTGGTAGATGAGCTCGGATTCGGGGAGACTTTTGTAGGATCAAAGTGCTTGGTTGGTCCACACGTGTAGCAGCGACGTTGATCATCCTTGAGATCACGGGACCATGTGCAATCATGACCACGGAAGCAACCGAGGAAGAACTTGCAAGGCGACTTCATCTCAACCTCAATTTTTTTTCCTTCTTCAGCTTTTCTATCTTGCCTACTCCTTTCTTGGTTCTTCCTGTCCTCAGCCAGGGCCAACTGGTCGATCTGGTGTGTTGCGCACTGGCTGAACGATAGGGCCTTTGTATTGGTGTCTACCAAATTGGATGGATCTGGCTCTGTAGCTTTTTGCCCCCGCGACGTCTCCGACCTTCTTCGTCAAGTCATTGTTGATGCAGCTCCTGTAGGTGATCGTTTTCTCTCTGCTGGTTGTGACAAAGCTCGGTCAATGCCCTGGCCTCTTGAGAGTTTTGCCATCGCCGCAAAATCTCTTCTTTTTCTTTCAACAGGTCCTGGTAGTCGAGGTGAAAGTGTTGAGGCCTCCTTTCACGAAGTGCTTCTTGTGCATCAGCCTCCTCACTGCTCCTCCTTCCTCATTTCTTCACCTCTTTTCTCCCCTTCATATCTTTCTTCTTCTTCTTCCTTCAGGACTCGTTCTGGTCTTCGAGCCAAGGTACTGCCTGAAGGTCCTGAAGATGATACGGGCGGCGTCAAATCTCCGTAGAGAGGTGCACTTACTCAGGAAGCCGCGCTTGGTGAACATAGGCGACGTTGGTTGGCAGGAGCCAACTTTGCACTTCTCTTCGGCGCCACTCTGATACATCTCCAACTCCGTTGGGGCTGTTCCTGAACCGAAGTGTCCCGGTGGTCGTCCTGGTAGGAGTGCTATATAAATCCAAGCTTGGGTCCTCCTCTTGTCCTTCCTTCACAGCTTCTTCCTTCGCAGCCTCCTCTTCCTTCTCCTCCACATCAGCCTCTTCTCGGAGTGTCGGAGCCCCTGGGGGAAGCGCCAGTGCCATCTCATCTCGCTTGGATGTGGCCTAAGCATGTCTAAGCAAAAGGGCTGCATTATGCAGACATCATGTATTCACAAAACAATCTACTTTACCGCTTCAAGCCAACAAGTGCAAAGAGCGGGCAAGCGTCTTTTGTAAATGATTGGCTCAGTGGGTCAAGGTCTCAGCTAAGAGCTTTCAGCATCAAAATCTGGACCTTCAAATCCCTGCCCCTTGGTGTGGGAGGGCGGGAAAAGCAAGGGATCGCTGTCAAGGCCTTGAGCCAAAATGACAGGCGAATTCCCACCCATCATCCCCTTGAAGCTCTTTAGATTGTTACAAACACAACACGTTGTTAAACCCAACAATCTACTTTACCGCTTCAAGCCAACAAGTGCAAAGAGCGGGCAAGCGTCTTTTGGAAATGATTGGCTCAGTGAGTCAAGGTCTCAGCTAAGAGCTTTCAGCATCAAAATCTGAGACCTTCAAATCCCTGCCCATGTGAGCCTGAGCCAATCATCTCCAATCTGCGTAGCGCTCACGGCTCTGCACTATCGGAAGAAGATGATGTCGAGGACTCCTCCGACTTGTTGTTGATGGGTTTGAAACATTTAGCACGCCGTGGTCGATCCGGGGCATGGTCGACTATTTGATAGTCCGCGGAGCACTGGGCGAACGGCCAATGACATTTGGTCCGCCACATGTAATGTGGGATGTCATCGCTCACCCTTGCTGCCAAATGGACCTTGCCGCGGGGGTCTTGGTTGACCACATAGCGCGTGGTTGTTGGGGCCGGCAGGGGGGCCACCGCTTCAGCTGCTTCGCAGTCTAGGAAGCAATGCGCTGGTTGCGAATTGCCTCTTCGCATGCTTGGAGAAGCTGTGCCAGTTCCGCTCTTGCTGCTGCCAACGATGTTTGCAGCGTAGCTTCTTGTGCCAGGCCATGCAACTGAGACAGTGGAGCGTCTCGGACGTATTGTTTAAAACAGTCAGAGCCCCATCTCCCAAACAATTGGATGCGCCAGAGTTCGACCTGGGTGTGAGCGAGGTGGACTGCGCCGGACGCTCGCGCTGAGTGCCCGGTGAACAAGCGCAGACCTGAAGGGCTGTGTGTGTCCAACCCGAGTCGGCGTGCGAGTTCTTCGAACGTGTTAGCCCAGCCCGCTTTGGAAGGGGGACCTCCGCTGCTGGCCGGAAAGATCACCGAGCTTCCGATTGCGGATGCGAACCTGATTTGCAACTTCATGGCGTGAAAGGGGCAGAGCCCTGCTTCGGCCCCGTGGGTACACGAGCACGAGTGCGTGCGTGTCGCCCCAAGGGCCTTCCAGTCGGCTTTGCTGGAAGGAAGGCGCCAGTGAACGAGCTGCTCTACGGTCAGGTGTGTGACAAGCGCAGCGCTTGCTTCTTTCTCCCGGAGGAGCCACCATGAGGCCAGGATTGTGGCCCGGCCCGGCCAAAGTGGGCCGTCAGCGCATAGCCCAAGCTGAGCGCTGCGACCCGATCCAGGGGTAGGGGTTGCATGCACCTGCTTTGCAGGCCCCCTTCCCCGTGGGCAGGCCCTCTTGGCACGCCGGTATGCGAGGGCAAGCGGCAAGTTGGTCCGACCACGGATGACCGTCAGCAATGCGCTGCTGCTTGGCCGTGTCCATGTACAGTTCCGCTGAGCGGTAGCCTGCACGGTCCAACGCCCCC